TTTTTGCAAAAGTTTTAGTTTAAAGTATCTTAAAATTTTGTGTTAACAGTGAATTTAGACAAATCCTTAGTCTTTGTCATTGTCAGCTGTTACTTTTTAAATTTTTTTCCTTTTAATTTTGTATTTTCCAGGGGGGGGCAGGGCCCCCCCCTGGAACTCCCAGGGGGGGGCAAGAGGACTACTGCCCCCCCCCTATGTACGCCACTGGGCATACTTATTTTTTGTTTTTGATTATTAAATTTTTTTTTGGTTAAAATATGAAGAATGTATGATAAAAGTGGAAGTTATAAAAGTTAACTAAGCAAAACATTGACTCCGACGACGGAAGATATAGCCATGAACGATTCTAAATTTTCCCTAAAAACTTCCATAACTACTTAAGAAAATAAGAATATCATTTTGAATTATTAAAAGTCTCGAAAAATTGATTTTAAAAGAAAAATTGACGAACACTGATGATAATTATTTTTTAGAAAAAACCGACGACGAAGTAATTTGTTCACCCCGTCTGGGAAGGGTAAGGTGGAGAAGGTGGATGATAAGAAGGGTTCAGGGGAGAAGGTGGACAAGGGAGAGGTGGGGAGTGGAAGGAGTATTCCCATCAGACAAGGAGTTCTCTACAAGAAATCTAATAAAGCATTTTCAAAGGTATGTTTCTATTCGGGGATCATTTAATGACAACAAATGAGAACCCTTTTCATTTGTGGATCCAGAGGCCGAATTTAAAGAATTTGAGCCGCGGCTCAAATTTTGGTGGTTTCACTTAAATTTGTATCAAATTTTTCAAGATTTAAGCCGGCGCTCAATTGAAACCGGTTTTTGGGGGATTTGAGACGCGGCTTAATTCATTACATTCGGACACTTGAAAAAAGTAAGATCCATCTCATAAATAATAAATACTAAAAATATCTAAAGATAACCATAAAATTTATTCTTTTTGTGCTATTTATGTTGAAACTTTTACACCGTGAAAACCAGAAAAAGAAAAGGAAGATGACTGAAACTCAAAAATATTTAATGAACATGAGACATTTGTAAACATTTGTTTTGTAATTGTACCATTTGTTATCGTAACATTTGTTATTGTAATTGTAATTGTAACATTTGTTATTGTAAACAGATCCCATTAACTTAATAAGTGATTTATTAAGTTACTAGTAAAACTATTTGCTTTGTAACAGCATCAAATAAACAAAAGTATTCCTAAAATAACATTCCGTTTACACAGATTTCTAGTTCTCGCTGAGAAACCACAATGGAAATTAGTCAATGAATGAAAGATTGACTGAAAATGAGTGTATGACCATAATATGCAAATTTAATCTTGATAAAGTTAAAGCTTGGGTTACCTCAAGGTATGAAAAATAATCATAAACTTATTGTATACTTACATTATTTGTGAGTATTTTTAATTCTTATGAATTCTTTCTATCAGGCTTATTAGATAATTTTAACTTTTAATGTTTCTTTACCTATTCTTCGAACATTTCAAAACTTTATGATTTCGCAGATTTTCATCATTTTTTTGGAGAACTTTTAAAGGCCATTTCTATGTTCATTGAACCCAATATTTAGGATTGGAAGAAGAAGTATGTGACGCTATGTGACGATGGTCGGATGACATATCATCCTTCTCTTCACGATTATATGGAGAATATTCACGGGAAGGAGATTCCCCTGCAGTATGTTACAGTAAAGGTAAACAAACAACAGCATTGAAAGGGTTTGATCACCTGGATTCCGCTACAGTACGTTACAATAAAGGTAAACAAACAACAGCATTTAAAGGGTTTGTCCACCTGAGATTCCGCTGCAGTACGTTACAGTAAATGTAAAACAAACAACAGCATTTAAAGGGTTTGTGCACCTGAGATTCCACTGCAGTACGTTACAGTAAAGGTAAACAAACAACAGCATTTAAAGGGTTTAATCACCTGAGATTCCGCTGCAGTACGTTACAGTAAAGGTAAACAAATAACAGCATTGAAAGGCTGGGTTTGTTCATCTGTTCTGAATACTGAAAATATCCCAAGTTTTGGGATAAGGACCACATCATAGTTTATCTTCCTTCTCATTTTAAGATGTTTTTTAGACCCAGAAATATCCAAAATTTTAGCTAAATTCTTCTTTAGTTTTTTGGAGTCATAGTCGCAGAAAGTCCAAATTTTACATTTTATAGCCAAAATTTAAACAACAAGGCTTGTTAATTGCATGTTATTTTTCAAACATTTACAAAATTTGCAAATGTTAGTTAAAGTAGTAAATGTGGCGATTTTCTATTTCTTAACATTTAAATGTAAAACAACAGTTTTTTTTTGTCTAGGTCCCTGGTCAGGGCCCACGGGGGATGAGAACAGTCCCTGTTATGGGAAACGGCGGGATGAGTAACGGTATCGGAGAAAACGGCGGGGCCGGGAACGGGAAGGAGCGGGTAACACTGACCGGTTATGAAATGCTGCGTGAAGGCGGGAGCGGGGAGGAAACGGGTGAGAATAATGGCGGTGGCCGGTTAGACGCGGGGAAGGAAAACGGGAAACAAGAACAGACAACGCCAAATGTTAAAAAACGTCACAGGTATGTGAATTTATGAAATCTATAAAATTGAAACCATTTTTTTTGGAAGGAGAAAGGGTAGGAGTTGTGCCTTAGATAAATGTTAGTATCGTTTAATTGTAACTCATGATGTGAACTTTGAAAAGTTAAAAAAGAGTTTCTGTTACAATTCCAGTTCTTGTGAAGTGAAAGTTAAGGAAGATAAGTGAATCTAGAAACTTATGTTCTGCAAGTTCTTTTGAGATGGAAACCTGGAAAAGAAATTAACTTTTTATCAGAGTTTGAATCAAATTGAATGTTTTTAAGAAATGAGGATTTAAAACCACTGATATTACTTCAAATATCAATATTAATTATTTTTTTTCTCTGCTGCGAGTCCTACTGTTTCTTATATTTAGTTAATGCTGAAACTTTCTTTACAATTCAGAGATCAGTAAACACCTGATATATGTGCTTTGGTCGGAGCAAAAAAAGTTAAAATTTTATCCCCATATTTGATTAATAATGTGGAAAATATAATCGTTTTTTATCTTAAAAAGTATTTAATTCTGACATTTTCTTCTGTTGTAAAGCATAAATCTGCATTCCACACTCCACAAGTTACTTTTATAGAGAAACCACAATTGAAAACAATTTTTTTAATGAAACACATGGATATCTGATTCATTTCTGATCATGGAAAGCTTTGTGAATCGGACAGACCCCTCCATAAATATTGGGTCACCTGACGTCTGTCTCCTGTCCCTTTATTCGAATCGATTTCACTTATTTGTTTGTGAAGACGGATAAAGTCTAGGAGAGTTAAAATTTTGGGTTTTAAAATCGATATTACTTATTTGTTTGTTTAGACGGGTGAAGTCTAGTAACCCTAAGGGTGGTGGTGAAGAAGAGGAGACCTGGGAGTTCCAGATAGTCTCCTTGGACAACAAGAACTGGCAGTTCGAGGCAACCAGCCTGGAGGAGAGGGATCAATGGGTTCAAGCAATAGAACAGCAAATACTTAATAGTCTACAGGTATACAGTAGGCTGGTTCATAGAACAACAAATACTTAATAGTCTACAGGTATACAGTAGGCTGGTTCATAGAACAATAAATACTTAATAGTCTACAGGTATACAGTAGGCTGGTTCATAGAACAATAAATACCTAATAGTCTAGGTATACAGAGAGTCACTCACAAAAAATGTGAACATTTTTAAGCCCCTCAAAAAATAATTAGTTTTTTTTGTTAACTTTCATCTTTCAACTTGAAGATGAGGATGAAAGAGAATGATTATTAAGTATCATGTTGTTTGGAGCTGAGTCGTGAAAACTAATAATCTGATTTGTTTTTATAGGGAAACGAAATTAGTAAAAGCAAATGTAACAGTGCTCCAGTAGATACTGCTGCTATGAATAGAATTAGATCGGATATTCTTGGAAATTCAAGGTTAGTCAACAAATTAATTCTTGCATTAATCTGAAATGAAAACAAAGAGACCCAAGTTTGTTTGTTTTGTCTAAATTGTCACCAGTATCCCGATTCTATTAAACTTCTGTAAAACGTGTCTAATTCAAGGCCCTCCCTGGTAAATTCAGAGAAATGCCTGCTTGACCGTCCTAAAATCCGTAATCTTCAATTGGATTTTTTTATCAAGTTAATAAAAACTGATAATACGGAAGGTTTTGAATGTTGTTAAAGGGAGGGTTCGCGAAAAATGAAATGGGGTATAGGCTTACTGCGAGAAATAATCGCTTCTGATCGCTACCAATCTTACTTCTATCTGTTGCGTCTATAAGGAGAAAATTGTTTAAAACGTCTCAAACCGAAGAACGTATCGTCCATACAAATTGAAGAAGTTGGAACATACGACTTGGATCGTCAAACAATCAAATTAATATCAAACAAATAATTAAGATATTAAATCCTATAGTCATCGATTATTTTTCGACGCATTTGTATATATTTGATATTTCATAATTCATAATATTTTTTATTTTGTGTTTTTTAAAATAAATATTTCGCTTGCAACTTGTTTTCACGACTGGCGAATTCCCGGAAAATATGGAAAATGTCGTCTTCATTATCAAAATCCTAGAATCAGGAATAAATGTTTTCAAAAGTCACTCTCAGACCATAGAAAGTAAAAAATCCTATAAAATATTAACTATATACGAATGCTTTGTTTGAAATTCAATTGAGTTTGTTACGATCCGAGTCGTATGTTCCAACTTTCTGAAATCTACGTTCTTTGGTTTGAGACGTTTTTAACAATTTTCTCATTATAGACGCAACAGATAGAAGAAAGATTAGTAGCAATCAAAAGCGATTATTTATCGCTTTAAGCCTATACCCCATTTCATTTTTCGCGAACACTCCCTTTAAGTCGGAACTTTTTTGTAAAATGCTGCATATCTGTAGCCTGAATTTTTTATTCTAACCCACAACGGAAAGTTGAAAACTTTTAGTAATGCGCTTAAAACGTTAAAAAGGCCATGAGTTACATTTCTGAGATCTCTGATTGGTCTTAATTGATATCCAGAAGGAAATTGATCATCAATAGATACGGATTACTCGTCACTGAAAGGATAAAGCATCCATAAGTTTCTACCTCAAGTAATAATTTTAAGAATATTATATTTATATAAAATCTAGATGTGTTGACTGTGATAGTCCGAATCCTGACTGGGCCAGCTTAAACCTTGGAGTATTAGTCTGTATAGAGTGCTCAGGGATACATAGAAACCTAGGCAGCCATATATCAAGGGTAAGCTTAAACCTTGGAGTATTGGTCTGTATAGAGTGCTCAGGGATACATAGAAACCAAAGCAGCCATATATCAAGGGTAAATCTAAACCTTGGAGTATTGGTCTGTATAGAGTGCTCAGGGATACATAGAAACCTAGGCAGCCATATATCAAGGGTAAGCTTAAACCTTGGATTATTGGTCTGTATAGAGAACTCAGGAATACATAGAAACCTTGGTAGCCATATATCAAGGGTAAGCTTAAATCTTGGAGTATTGGTCTGTATAGAGAACTCAGGAATACATAGAAACCTTGGTAGCCATATATCAAGGGTAAGCTTAAATCTTGGAGTATTAGTCTGTATAGAGTGTTCCCTGGTATCACCTCAGAGCATAAAATGGTTTGGTGAAATTAAATACTTAAAAAGAAAACATCAGATAGAAAGGAAAATTGAGTATTTATTCTTCGTTATTTTTAATGAAGTAAGGAATTTAATTTTCCGCAAATTACTTATTAGCACAATATTTCTTTGCACCCTTGATATTTCAAAGATTTGTATATCTGATCTTTCAGAGTTCCTTTTCTGAACAAGGTTGTATAAAAGGGATACTCTGGATGCGCTCCAATACGACCTATACAGCAATAGACACACTAAATCCTCATATGACGTCACTGCTTATTTTAAAGAAAAAAATTTTTGCGGGTCACAAAATATAAACGAACTAGAAAATTAAAAATTTAAATTAGAATTGTATTTATTAGCTTCAAACTTGTTAGCACAATCAATATTTGTTAAATGTAATGATTGTTAGTTAAGTATCAGTGACGTCATATGTTGATTTAGAATGTCCATTGCCAAAAAGACAACATTTACCTAAATTGGAGCGCATCCAGAGTAACTAACCTTATATACAACCCTGATTCTGATATATCTAAGGTGTGCGTCACCTGGTTGTAAAGTTATATGGATTAGAGTTTGAGACGAGTAATCAGTTCCAGGTTCCTTAAGTTTTAAATTATCAATTACAATTTTTCAAATTTTAGGTTCGAAGTTTGAATCTTGATGAATGGCCTCCTGGTCACCTGGCTGTGTTGACCAGCTTGGGGAACCAGCTGGCTAACTCTATTTGGGAACATAGGATCACGCATCCTTTTAGAAAACCTAACCCTGATACACCTAGGTAATAATAATAATAATAGGATCACACATCCTTTTAGGAAACTTACCATTATACACCTAGGTAATAATAATAATAATAATAGGATCACACATCCTTTTAGGAAACCTAACCCTGATACACCTAGGTAATAATAATAATAGGATCACACATCCTTTTAGGAAACCTAACCCTGATACACCTAGGTAATAAAAAGGCAGTAAGGAATCAGTAACGTAATTTGTAATATATTTTCGCATAATTACATTTCTAAAGGTTTAGTTTCCTATTTTAAATAATTAGTCAAGATTTATTGAATCAGAAGTAGAAGTTAGATGGCAATTTAACTTAGTTCATTTCGCTTTCTGAAGTTCATAGCGTGAGAACCAGAAAACTATGGAAAAAGAAGAAAATAAGTAAATAGTTTACTAGAAACTTATTAGACAATTTTTTAAGGTAAATGGGTCTCTTTACAGTACCCTCCTTAATTGTCGTGTCTTATGTTCATTGGAGTATTTAAAGTCATAACTTGAGTCTAAAAGTCGTCTTCCTATTCCATAGATTTCTGGTTCGTACTGTACATTAAATCGGTTTAAAATTTCATTCTTTAATTTTGGTTTAAATTTAGAGAGGAAAAGGAGAGATATATAAAGGCTAAATATGAGAGAAAAGAATTCCTGGCGCCTCTTCCCCCCTCAACTCATTCTGCTGCTCAGAGTCTTGTAGACGCTATCTGCAGGTCATTTTTTATTTTTTATTTTATATTCAAGAATTAATTTTATTATGTGTTCATAAAATAATACTATTTTATTCATTCTTGCCTTCAACAATTCGTATTTATTCATCATTTCATTTGAGCATTTTTTTAGTTGATAGTTTATTCTTTCATTCATTAATTTACCCTTTTATTCATTTAACAAATTAATTCATTATTTCATTTCATTTCATAATTCATTCATTTATTTATCCTTTCATTCAATAATTTATCATTTAGTTATCCTTTTATTCAATAATTTATCATTTATTTATCCTTTCATTTAGTAATTAATTCATTTATTTATCCTGTAAAAGTCTTCATATAATTACTAAGGAAAAAAATTGTAAATAAATAAATTGATAAATGAAATAAAATTATAAATAAATAAATGAATGTATATTTCTAGATCTGATATGGTTGGAGTATCCCTAGCATTGGCCCACTGTAGAGAGGAGGAGGTGAACACAGTGGTTTCCTCGAGGGACACTAGAACACCTTTACATCTAGCCGCAGCGCTCGGACACCTAGCTATTGCACAGATACTCATCTGGGTAAACTTTCTTCCATTTATAGAGTAGCATTCACAATTTACAACGGTACCCTGATCACAAATATAGAAGATAACTTCATTTTCTAGGTTGAAAAGTTCTTAATTCTGATGATTTCTTTATTGTTTCTGAAGCAAGAAATGCACTAGTCCGTTTGCATCGTAGAAAAAACCACAAATGAAAATTATCCGTTTTCCTAAACAAATAATTGGTTATCTAACTCTTACTTGATCAGACAAATTTGGGGTTGTTAATCGGATCACGTTACAGTACTTTAATTCACTTGTTCTATTTTTTTTATCTAATATTTTTAATTAATCTTGTCAAATCATAATTCTTTCTGATGAAGTTTTTTTTTCTGCGATATAGTGACAATCAGAATTCTGTGAAATTATTGTCGACAATTTCTTCTTATTAAATAATTTTGTTATTGTTTTAACTTGAAAATTGCAAATCCTACTAAAGCAACATTTCTATTTAAACAAGAAAGAAATAAAGAAGATAATCGTCGTTTAACGGTTTTTTGGTTGTGTAAGAGGAAAATTTCGAAATGAGTGCTATAAAATGTGTAACATACGGATATTTTAAACTTTTTTTTCAGATTTAGTTTGAATAATATTTTACAAGTTTCATAGTTTTTCATTTTAATTATAAAATATTATTTTTAATTATCAGATTTACATTTTTATTTTAAAAAATTAATTTAAATTTGTTTAGTCCAATTGTAATGTGAAGAGTATAGACCATGAAGGGAGAAGTTGTTTATCCCTGGCCAGGAGTAGTGGAGCACAGGTAGGGTTAAAGGGACACTCAGCAATATATAATAAAGGGACACACAGCAATATATAATAAAGGGACACTCAGCAATATATAATAAAGGGACACAGAGCAATATATAATAAAGGGACACTCAGCAATATACAATAAAGGGACACTCAGCAATATACATGAATGCTAAGAAAAAATAAGCCCCCCTTCCTTGATAAAGGTATGTGTACGCACCTGATCGGCTTAAAACAGTACAAGCACATAGATTGCGTAAATGCCGTCTTTCTATTACACAGTATTATAGGTCTCCCTGTATACTGTATAATAAAAGGAAACAACGATTTATAGGATTTTTTAAAGCTAAAAAAATCATTAAAGAGACAATTCATTATTTACATATTAAAGGGACACTTATCAATTTCACAAGTTAGCCATTATAAAAAATGTACTCATTTGAATTTATTCGTTTTTTTCTCGTTAAACTAATTTTATTTTTATTTTTTTCAGGATGTTGTTGAACTGTTGGTTGGGGCGGGGACACCTGATCCGCCCTACTCTGGTACTCTGCCCAGGGTTCGGGCTCCACCCACTTCTAGAACTAAAGAAATATCGTCCAGTGTCCTGTAAATCGTCCACCAAAGCTCGTCTGGTTGGATTCATGGCAGAAATACAGTTCAGAGAATTGAGGTCCTTACTCCTTGGGATCAAAATACAGAGGATCAAAGTTCATTGTGATTAAAAATCCATGATATTGGATCAAAATTGATTTGGGTCCAAATCCAGAATGATAAAAGTGAACAGTCCATTCAATTAACTCCACCAGATGGAAAACCTGGACTACGGACGATCTATCTATCTATCTAGTCAGTGCAATTCACAGTTTCAAGACGATACAACACTCCGAACCAAAGATTTTAGTTTTAAACCCGTTCTATTTATTTTCTGCATTTAATTTAAATAAGTTGAGGAGTTATGTTGATTAAATATGTCCGGACGAATTTGATAAATTCTGAATATATTTATAAATATATTTAATGCTTGTTCTGTTTGAACCTGAATTCACCAAAGAATAAAATAAAATTAAATAATAATGAATTATAATTAAGAGATGAATAAAAGCAACGTGATGTTTGTTAATGAAATATTTTTTTCTAAAAATGAAATTTAAAATACAAAATCAAAATCTGAAATTTACTAGGATCTGTTTGATCTGTCAAATCTGTGTACTGCACTGGGATGAGATCAAAACAAAACATCTATTATGTGTGCAATTGGCAAATGGGGGGGGGGTGAAGATTTTCTGTTTGAAGTCGTGAAAATATACACTAAAATGGGAGGGGGGAAAGGCACACCACACCATTTTTTCGTCCGCACCACACAAAACGTCACATTTCACCATTATTTCGTCCTACCACACCATTTTTAGGATCGGGCGTTGCTTCTGTGTTTTCAGACGTAATATTTTATGCCTCAATACACTTTTTTCAAACTTAGGCCAACGTCACGTCTTTAATTTAACAAAAACGGAAAATTTGTGTGCCTCGCTTATTTTTCGTCCGAACCACACACTTTTCTGTTCTTATTTTACTCCTAAACTACAACTTTTAAGTGATAGTCACTGTGATCTTAGAATCTACAACTAAAACATTTTTTTAGCAGGACACAAAGCAATTGGTTTTGATTTGCAATTTATGAAATGAAAGTTTCCATGAACTTTTATGCCAATTGTATCTTAAAAAAAAAAGGATATAATATTTTTAACCCTTATATAAACAACAGGACGTGGCTCAAACTTGGAATATAATAATGTTAAGTACCTTGATAAATACCTTAATCAACAATTGCAAAGGATTCCGTTGTAAAGCGGACATAACATTTTCTGAAACTGTCTCCCACCTACTCCAAATCGACCTCATGTGACTTAACATTTTTTTTGTCATGACTTATATAATGGTCTGAAAATGCCTTTGGGAAAGTACCAAACATCAAAGAATGCTCCCAAAAATGGCCCAAATTTTGAAATGGCCAAAATCATGTTATAAAAAGTTAGCTCAAAAAAGTTTATTTTGATGACCCCTCAAAAAACGCTAAAGCATATTTAGTTTAGTTTTTGTCACTTGTATTTATTTTTTAATTTGATTTTAAATTTAAGAAGACGTGAATTAGCGGACAATTTATTATTGTACAGCCAATAACAAAAAGTCAATCGCTAGTCTAACAAAATTCAAAGGAAGAAAAATTGAAATTTATAATTTAAAGTAGAATTAAAAGATAAACATAGTTGATGTAGAATTAAGTAGGAAGAACTAAGGTACGTGAAATATAAGATTTAAAAAAATGGGTTGAAACTAGGCGGAAACAGAGCAATTTTTTATTTAATCAATATTTGGCATATTCTGGCAATTTTTCAAGTCATTTCTTGCCCCCCCCCCCCTTAAGTGTGTTCAGATTCTATCGGATTCTAGTTCTGATCCCCTTCACTGTAGATGTTAAGCATTTGAAGATTAAATAGCATTAATTTTACATAATACAAGATCTGATCTTGTTTTAAGAATTTTGAGATAATAATTTTCTGCAATATAATCTTTTAAGTTTTTTCTTGTGCAGGGTCAGTAAAACCGTGTATCGTTGTCTAAAAACACTTAATATGAGAAATTAGAAAATGTCAAGTTGAGAAATGTTTCTGTTCCCAATTTCTATACTTAACCTTTTTTATAATCAGTAGGTTTACTGACCGAAGGAGGGGTGGATGGTCCCAGGGTTTTATAATCAGTACGTTTACTGACCGAAGGAGGGGTGGATGGTCCCAGGGTTTTATAATCAGTAGGTTTACTGACCGAGGGAGGGGTGGATGGTCCCAGGGTTTTATAATCAGTAGGTTTACTGACCGAGGGAGGGGTGGATGGTCCCAGGGTTATATAATCAGTAGGTTTACTGACCGAGGGAGGGGTGGATGGTCAAAGGGTTTTGAAGTAAAATGTGAAAATTTATCCGACCTTTTATGAAAAGTCCTCTAAATAGGGAAAAACCAAAATTGAAGTAAGGGCTCTGCTACCCCTTTTTTTACTGTCTTTGTTCAGATATTTGCAATAAAAAAAATCACAGTTTTCAGTCCAAGTAGCCTGTGGCGATCATACAGTTTTGATTAGCCAAACTGACAACATTTTTTGCAGCTTATACATTAAAGATTATGGTATTGGTATGGTAATGTAAAAAAAAAACTTTTTTTGCTAGATACATCATGGTTTCATTTGAGCTCAAAATCTTTACAAGTCATCTTATTTCCAAGTTTCTCAGAAAAATCCAGTTTTTCGCCTAAAAAATCTAATGGATTAGTGCCACTCAAAAACGCGTTTTTACTCGATAGTCACGAAATAAAAATTAATTTATGTTAAATTTAGAGCCCAGCACTATGCCAAAAATCATCAAATCATTGAGATTGAGATATCTGAGGAAAACAATGTTTTTTCTTTGAAAATCATAATACTCTGATTTTAACCGCTCTACCTCTGTAGATTTGAAATACTTAACATGATTAAAAACATCAAAACAAAAAATGTTTTACTTCTTAATCTTTTATTTATTAAATCTTGGGTGCTTACGAAACATTATAAATAACATACAAGAAAAAGTATCCAAGTACTTAAATCCATTAAATCTTTTTGCCTAATTATTTATAATTTAAGAATAAATTATTTTAAATATTCTTTTTAAAAATTACAAAAAACACTACATTTTCTTTCACCTCTAACACAAATAATTTCATACATCACATAAACGTAAGAACCAAAGAGTAGAAACAATTGGAAATTTTGCGGATTTTCAGTGATCAGCTGATCGCAGTAGGAACAGCTGATATTAAGAGAATCAGCTGAATTGATCACGAATTAAACAGCTGATCACAATCACATTGATGGTATTGATCAATAGTATCTACTTCCTGAACTTAACATGTTCACACAAAGCAATTGAACAGAAATAAAATTATGAATAAAATGCTAAATCCGAAATAACATCCCAGGTTCATCTCTTCCGTCGTACCAGAACCATGAGATTTTGAGAAATACTAACAATAAATCTTATAACATGTACAATGTACACTGAACTCAAGGTACATGTCAAGATGTACATGGCAAACCGTATTGTACATAACATCAGTACAGTTCAAATTAAATGAGAAAGCAGAGCTGACAGGAATGCTGAATTTAATTTTCCTAAATCACAATTCAGTCCGTGAAAGAAATCACAGACGTAACAGGATTATTATTCAGAATAATTAGCCTGTAAAATCATCGAGGTTGCATATAAATTTTACAATTATTATGCATTTCTTGACTTTTTAATACAAAGGACTGAAACTTGTCGTTAAATCTTAGTTCTCTCTGTAGTGTGTTGAAACATGTCACTGAAAGCGAGCTTGCTTAATTTGAGTGAATGTATAAATAATTAAAGTTTGAGAAATTTTAACAAATGGAGCATGCAGCCTTACTGCAGACGAATTAAGCTGATTGGTGGATATGTCTGAAAACGAATTCAGTTATGATTTGTGGATGGAGCTTATCAGTGGATTTGTTTCTCTAAGAATGGAGCTGCTTAGTGGATTTGTCTCTGGGGAATTGAGCTCCTTAGCTGATATTTTTAAACGATTGAAGCTGCTAAGTGAACTTGCTTTCATAAAAATGGAGCTGGTGATAAATGGATTTGTCTCATAAAGGATGGAGTTAAAATATAGATATGCTTGCAATCGAATCCGAGTCTGAAAAGTGAATCACTGAAAATGCCTGAAATAGGGATTGAACAAAAACATGAGACATGTGTACAGTGTACGAGTTGAAAACATAGTCTTTCACTGGATCCAAGTCTATCTGAGCCCAGGATATAGCTGAGAAGGTTTCTTGTCCGCGAAAAATGATTTGAGAACATACACCTAGAAAGTAGTAATATCAATTAGACCATCAGATTACAATGTGAAACCTAAAAATTAATTTTAAAAAGCTGTGAATTCAGAGTTACTTAATTCCATGAAAAACAACCTACATATTTTGTTACTTAAAACCTCGCAATATTTCTTATTATTATTTCAATCATTTTATTATTAATACAATGAAATCAGACTTCCATAGCTACTTTGAAAAGACTTTTTTTTGGCGTATATTTTAAAAGTTCGTCATAAATTGTAAGTAACTAACTCTGTTATTTTGAAGATTTAGTATGAAGAAATATTGATAACTATCACCAATAAAGAAATTCTAGGAATTTAAACACGGAATACGGTTGATACAACAATTTAGCAAATGATGCAGAAAACAAATTCCAAGATGTAGGATTTCTTTGATCAGATTGAAACTACACCAAGCAACAAACTTAGCTATCTTGAACTACTGAACAACTTTTTTTATTTAATACTAATTTGCAGTTGGGAACCCAGATTTGTCCAGAATACAAGTTTACCCAATACAAGTCAACATACTCAACTTAGAACTTTATTGCCAAGTTAAGTATATATCTACCGTGTTCCTTTATCAAAATTTGAGACAAATCTGCCAAGGGGTGGTTCCTAAGTTATGATCGGACATCCAAACAAACAGTGCTTAGGATCCATTCAATTTCCAGGTAATTTCTTTAAGATTTACTGAATTTTTTAACAAAAAATAATTTTTAAATTCTTATTTTTATTATTTTTGCTTATTTTTATCCTAAAACTTGATGAACCATTCAGAAATGAGTAAATTTTTTTAATCTTTCTTTTTCAAAAGTTCAGATTTGGGATTTAGGAGTAAAATTTTTTTTTTTTGCAGTTTTTGGTTGATATTTTACCCCTTGGATCCGGATCCGTGGATCCGCATATTTTTGCGGATCCGGATCCAGGAAGCCAAAATCTTGCGGACCCAGCGGATCCGGATCTGGATCGGGATCCTAAGCACTGCAAACAAACAAACAGACTGAGAAAAAGAGACTCTGTGTACCTGTCCGAACCCCACAAACATGATGGCGACAGTAACAAACCCACTCCAGATCATAACTCTTTCATTCAGATCTTCTCCTCGCTTCCGACCCTGCAGAATAAATATTGAATATTTCTTCATTTCTTTGAATACTTTATTTCTTATTGGAAATCTATATTTCTTAGTGGAATACCTGGGTTTCAGCGAGTCTATGATGAGTTTGGAAATCTATATTTCTTAGTGAAATACCTGGGTTTCAGTGAGTCTATGATGTATTTGGAAATCTATATTTCTTAGTGGAATACCTGGGTTTCAGTGAGTCTATGATGTATTTGGAAATCTATATTTCTTAGTGGAATACCTGGGTTTCAGTGAGTCTATGATGAGTTTGGAAATCTATATTTCTTAGTGAAATACCTGGGTTTCAGTGAGTCTATGATGAGTTTGGAAATCTATATTTCTTAGTGAAATACCTGTGTTTCACTGAGTCTATGATGAGTTTGGAAATCTATATTTCTTAGTGGAATACCTGTGTTTCACTGAGTCTATGATGAGTTTGGAAATCTATATTTCTTAGTGAAATACCTGGGTTTCAGTGAGTCTATGCTGAGTTTGGAAATCTATATTTCAATTAGTGGAATACCTAGGTTTCAGTGAGTCTATGATGGGTTTGGAAATCTATATTTCAATTAGTGGAATACCTGTGTTTCAGTGAGTCTATAATGAGTTTGGAAATCTATATTTCAATTAGTGGAATACCTGTGTTTCAGCGAGTCTATGAGTTTGGAAATCTATATTTCTTAATGGAATACCTGGGTTTCAGTAAGTCTATAATGAGTTTGGAAATATATATTTCTTAATGGAATACCTGTGTTTCAACGAGTCTATAATGAGTTTGGAAATCTATATTTCTTAGTGGAATACCTGGGTTTCAGTGAGTCTATGATGGGTTTGGAAATCTATATTTCTAAGTGGAATACCTGGGTTTCAGTGAGTCTATGATGGGTTTGGAAATCTATGACGGAATTGAGGTTTTCGTGGATTTCTCGTGCAGATGTCTCCATCTATATTTATAAATTATGATCAATATTTTTATAATTTTTATATAACATCAAAAGTCTAAAAATGAAAAGTATCAAAATTAGATTTGATTAATAAATAATATTTTCTCTCACAAAGTTAAAACAAATCTGAAATAAATATCTTACACAAAAAAGAAAACAAAAACAGGGTCTATTTTACTCCCGAACTTCGGAAACATCAAAAGAATTTATAAAATGTTGTTTTCTTGACCTACTGATATTGGAGTGCTGAAGATATATAGTTTTATTTAATTGAATAATTATATGGAGGTCTTTAAACTATTCCCGCATATTTCGTAGCTATTTATTTATTTTTACAATTACTGAGACTTAGGTATAAAAATATAAAAACCTTTGAAAAATTGCCAAGACAACATTTCATAAATCCTATAGATGACTCCAAAGTTCTTGACTAAAGTGTAGTAAAAGATTAAGAGATTAAGGCTATAGTTGGTCAGCTAGGACCAGATCTAATGAAGAGTGAGAAATATAGTTGGTCAGCTAGGACCAGATCTAATGAAGAGTGAGAAATATAGTTGGTCAGCTAGGACCAGATCTAATGAAGAGTGAGAAATATAGTTGGTCAGCTAGGACCAGATCTAATGAAGAGTGAGAAATAGTTTAAACACGTTAAACCACTTCTCACGAGGGCCAGGTCAAGCTGATTAGAAGCAGTTTAACTTGGTTTAAGCTTTTCATTTGAACTGGTCTCAGAAGATATTAATAAATCTACAAAAATCAAATCAACTAAATTATTATTTCTTTTACTCGTTTTCTTGTCCAGTAAAAAAACTAGGATGGTTAATGGTATGATTAAATTATTAATGTATTTATGCTATTTTTTATATCACACAGGATATTTTTACACTTTCATACCTCTGTCAATAAATTAAACTCTTTTTCATCCTAATAAATGAATTATTAATAAATTTTACTTAATTAAAAAAAATAATTTTATCTCGAACACGGTGTTGTAAATTTCCTTAAATAAGAGTCACTTAAAATAAAATAAAAATGTATCTAGTGAACCCTTTATTATTATTCAACGATCATTGATCATAAATCCTGGTAACATAAAGAACCCCCTCTATGAAACCATATATCCAGCACACTTGTGTTACTATATAAATTGTATCCAGTAAACATAAATAATCCCTTTGATGTGACTAAAAAGATCCAGTTTACCTGTGTAAGGGGTTCCAACTGGTTTTCTAAACCTGGCAGGGGAAGTTCATCTCCAACCTAGCAAACAAGAAAATTTAAATTTGAAGGATATTATTTCATAAAATTTCTATGAATCAAGAGCTAGTGTTTTAAAGTAACAATAAAAATAAAATTAGTTATTGTAAAAATAATTATAAAAAAACACTAACAATATCATTAGTGCGCCAAAAACAAGGTCTTGCAAAAAAAAGGTGAATATTGTTCTCGCCCCAGCCGTATGTAATACCTGGAAATCTATGTAGACAAGTTTATGAGAGAAAGTAGAAAACTCATTTGAGAAGCAGGCAATATATTCCCCGGTTCGATCTGCTTTCCACTGGAAACTATCATACTGTTTCTTTACCTAAGAAAAAGTAAAACAAAATTAGGGGTTTCAGGGTTGAATATCCCCCCTTTTTTATTTATAATACTTTATACACTACCATTGTTCAGTTTAAAAGTATCAGTAAGAGTGGAAAACCTCTTGCCGGTCCTCTTTTGAACCCCCATTTTTTATATTTTGAAAATAATTCTCTCTAAAATATAAACCTCTGATTTTTTATCTTAAGAAAGTTTTGAAAAGTTTCTTTTTTGATTGTATCTTAAGGGAAAGGATCTCATTTAAATTCTACTTGAACCAGTCACCTTATATGTAATACAAGTGTCTCAAATTTAATATTTTCTTGGTTAACCTGAGGGAATGTTTTTAGTCTCTGGGAGGACATAATCAAAGGCAAGAAATTTTGATATTTTTTAATACTTTTAACCCAAAAATTAATTCACCCTCTTCTAAAAATCATTTATTTTCCAATATCAGTGAATAAAACACTGATAAAAACATACCCGACCAAAAAAAGCGTTTCTTTTCAAAGGGGGTGAGGGCCGATTTGTTAGGAAAATTTATGCGCTGTCAAAATTAATGTTTTTCTGTTTACCTCCTTGTAAAGAACGTTCTTCATTGGATCTCTAAGTTCTACATCAACATCATAATGTCCCCCTGTCACAACCTTTACATGTGGAAGTAGGTCATTCTCAATTTATTTATTTTTTTATTTATAAATCATTGTTTATTCATTTTATTCATTTTTTATTTATTTATCTACCATTGTTTATTTATTCATTTATCCTTGTTCATTTAATCCTAATCAATGTTTATTTGTTTATTTATTTATCATTGTTAATTCATCATTTATTGTTCATTTTTTTGATGTAAATTTAGCAACAGATATTGTAGTAAATGGCAGAAAATTTTATCTAAATCAACTGATATGGTTTATAGCAAAACATATTGTGATTTAGGCAACAGTTTATTCCATCAATCAGAGTTTCAGGGATGTTCTACTATCCACATGTCAGTCTTAGGATGAGCTTACTAAATCAAGAATACAATTGGGATACAGTTATGGGTTTCAGTGGCTAATATTCTGAATTTGAGTGATAGATATTGGAAGTAATAATAATTGTATTTTAATTTATATTTTCAATATTTGAACTCTACCTGAAACTCTAAAGTTGATTCTACATCCTTTTCAATAATCTCATGAAAGCATTCTTTTGCACTGTCTGGCAACTCAAACGTTAATTCAACGCTTCCAGTAATACTAAACAGATAATTCATAGTTAATTCAACACTACCAGAAAATACTAAACAGATAAGACATCGTTAATTCAACGCTTTCAGAAAATACTAAACAGATAATACATCATTAATTCAACTCTTCCAGTAATACTGAACAGATATATAACGTTAATTCAATGCTTCCAGTAGTACTAAACAGATATATAACGTTAATTCAATGCTTCCAGTAATACTGAACAGATAATACAATGTTAAATCAACGTTTTCAGAAATACTATACAGATAATTTAACGTTAATTCAACTAAACAACGTTATTCCAACGTTACTTCAATGCTTTCAGTAATACTGAACAGATGAAACAACGTTATTTCAACATTACTTTAATGCTTTCAATAATACTGAACAGATAAAACAACGCTATTACAACGTTACTTCAATGTTTTCAGTAATACTGAACACATAACACAACGTTATTACAACGTTACTTCAATGTTTTCAGTAATACTGAACAATAAAACAACATTATTTCAACTTTACTTCAATGTTTTCAATTATACTGAACAGATGAAACAACATTATTTCAACGTTACTTCAATGCTTTCAATAATACTGAACAGATAAAACAACGCTTTAACAACGTTACTTCAATGTTTTCAATAATACTGAACAGATAAAACAACGTTATTACAACGTTCTTTAATGTTTTTAATAATACTTTGCAGATGAAACAACGTTATTACAATGTTACTTCAATGTTTTCAATAATACTGAACAGATGAAACAACGTTATTTTAACGTTACCTTAATGTTTTCAATAATACTGAACAGATGAAACAACGTTTTTCAACGTTACTTCAATGTTTTCAATAATACTGAACAGATAAGCAACGTTGTTACAACGTTACTTCAATGTTTTAAATAATACTGAACAGATAAGCAACGTTGTTACAACATTGTTTTGCTTTAAAAACTATCAGAGATTGTCAGCCTAAACTTCTGTGGCCATTTGATTTGTTCAAAAAACAAAAAAAATGTTATTCAAATGTTAAATATAAAAATCTTAAGGCATACATTTTTTAATCTTTTATCAACCATTTTAATCAAAACCTGGGAACAACCGAAGTCAGTCAAATATTAATAGAAATGCACAATTTTTCAGGGAAATCTTCAAAACAATTCTTCAAGGTATTTTTCTATTTGATATTTCATAAAGTTCATTTTGTAAGTAATACTTCTTAAAAAACCATAATCTTACCTTAGAAGCAAAGAACAAACAGTTAAGAACAAACACACACTTGAATCAGTCACATACTTCATTTTGACCAGGCTAATCTGATTTTTAAGCTAGAATCATCTGAAAGTATAAAAAATGTTTACATGCATATTGCATACAAATCTAGTTTTTGAATTATCACAGCCTGTCAGTTTCTCTGAGTATAAAAATAGGTTTGCATGGCATAAAAATATTATAAATTTCCTTTTTAGGTTTTCAACTATTTTTAAGTTTTCTTAGTTACTCTGGCTTTTCTAGCTGTAAGGTCTTTCCCAGTAATAGCATCTTCTTCAATGCTTTCCCTCCTCTTACATTTCGCAGATTTTGTAAACTTGGACTCTTTCCCGGATTTTCTAGGGTTTATTTTCTTCTCTTTGAGCGGAGAAATTCCTGATACTGAATCTGCTTTTCTTTCATCAAAATCCTCAACAAAATCCGAATTGGAAGTTTTCCGATTCTTCTTAATTTTTAGAGTTTTTTGCTCTTTAAGAGGGGAGTATTTTTTCGTTGATTGTTTGAACCCCCTAGCGTCTAAGCTACCCGTAGGATCAACATGGCAAACCTCACTGCACACACCAATACTCAGGAAAAACCTAAATATTAAAAAAGTAAGGGGTATATATTTTGTTAAACTAAATTTTACCCTTCTTTACCAATTATCTTTCCTTGTTTTTTTTTACAGCGCGCTGAATCTGTGAAATTTTATGAATGTTGGCTAACATGCATAACAAAGGTGGAGAACTTCTCAGGGACATGTAAAAAATAATTAAATACATTTGTGCTGAAGAATGATTTTTTAAGTTGATTAGAATGAAACTGAAAAGAAACAATTGAATAGTATCTTTTGAACAAGTCTTCNGCATAATTGTGCAATGTGCAATTGTGCATACCTCTTTGGCTAATTGTACACCTCAACAAACTTAAGTTCTTCAGTTTCAGGATTCCACAGCGTCAGGTCAGGTAATCCAGACCTTAATGGTACTGTTGACGTATCTTAGTAACAGTTGTTGTTTTTTCCAATTTAAAAAGATAACTCTCTGTCAATTTTCTTCCTTGCCTCTGCTGCATAAATCAGCAAGTCACTTTTAAAAAGAACCCGCAATTGAAAATTGTCGATTTTCATACATATATCAGACTAATAACTCCTTAAATCGTAGCCACTAGTAACAATGTGGACACTTGACAATCCCGTTCAGTTCAAAATAAATTGAAAAATTTAAATATTTGAAATCTTAAATATCAAAATATTGTAATATTAACCTGTATGTTCTATGATCTTTAATCAATCTCTCCAGTATTAATGAAAGCTGAAGAGGAGGAATACACTTGATTAAACCTAAAAAAATTGTTTAATCAATCAAATTAGTTTAATCAATCTCTCCAGTTTACACTTGATTAAACCTATAAAATGATATGCTCTGAACGTCTAAACTCTAACTATAATAAACAAATATAAACCTGCGAGATGCTCTGAACCTCTAAACCTATCCCAGGATACTATACTGCTAACATTAAAGTTTGTTGTGTAGGAATCTACCAGCATCCTGCAGACCTCATCACCGCTACACTCTGAATATGTAAGGTTTTATAATTACTTGGAATTACAGTGATACTAAAAAACCTAGGAATGTCATCATTGCCCTTTCTTCTGTCTATATATAACTTGGACTTGTCTGCCTTTGTTTGTAACTGATCAACGTCAAAACGGTTGAACCGATCGAACTCAAACTTTGTGACGCACCTCACTATGGATGGATGCTCAGAATTGAAAAAAGATTGTATTCAATTTTTTTGTTGGATTTTCGTAAAATTTTTAAAAATCCACGAAAAAAAATTATAAATCCGCAATATTTTCGAATTCAAAGATTGAGAAACAATTAAAAGTTAAAATGTAGATTTAATTAGCCTATATAGTTTATTTAGAAACGCTGCTAAGGATTTGTAACTTAATCTTTAATATCTAGTCTCTGAGAATGTTAAAGACATATTTTCAGAATTTCTCATTGTAAGAAAGAACATGGGCGACATTCAATTATTAATACTGTAATAAAGAAATTAAGGGTAAATAGTAAAAAAAAAATAAAACCCAAATCTAAAAAGCAAAAATAATATGCCAGTAAGAAATGATTTCAACTTGGGGTAAATTTGACTAAAATCAATTTTCGGACAGTAAAAACATTAAAACTCCGGATTTTCTTAATCTTATAATTACCACTTACCAGCAATCTGTTTAAGTCTGGCGTCTATTACATCTTTTCTGTTTGGATAAAAGTCGTCTGTATCCCAATCTGGAATAATAGTTTAATTAATGGATAGATAACTTGTTTTGCTTTGATAATATTAATCAAAAGGAAAAAATAAGTCATGGTAAACAATATTTGCGGAAAATATGAATGTTTGTAAGTTTCCACACTTCTGTGCGTCATCAATCGTGCTTTATCATTGGTGCGTGCTTATAAGTGCTTCATGATTGGCGCGTCCGCACAGCTGCATCCTCTTGTGTAACTGATAACTTTGATAATGTTGTTAAATGTCTACTGAAGAATGTAGTTTCATGGATGTTGACAGAAGACCTAAGTTTTAGAAAGAAGCCATGTAAGTCCAATTCTCAATACTGTACAGGGTGTCCCAGAAAAAACTGTGCAGTATTAACTGAGGAAACAATTTTCGTTTAATTTTTACGATCAAGGTTTCAGTTATTTCATGATTTCTCTTTCTATTCCTCACACTGTTTTGTTCCAACCAATTATTTGAGCCTAAGTCGAAAATAGATTTCCCGGATTTTTCAATTTTTAGATTTTTCACGTCTCATTTTAATTCGTTCAAAAAGTATGGATTTTTTATAAGCTGTTAGTCTTAGGTTTCATTTTTCACTAAAATTTCGGATCAGCAATTATTACTTTTGAAGGTAGAGCAATCTAAAAAAAAAGATAAAAAAAAACGAAAAGAGGGCTACGGGTACCTCCGTACGAACCTTGCCCCGACTACAAAAATATTCTTTTTCAAAATTTTCTTTTTGAAATCAGTTGGTACAATCCACAGCTCGTTATTTCAATCAAATTTTTTATCTAACCCACCAGGGTACAAAAATAAAACATTTTTTGTGAATTTGAAATTTAAAAAAAACTTCATAAAAATCATCATTTTAGGTTCACGCTTTCATTTATTATTAGTCCATTTTTATGATAGGTTCAAGGTATTAGGTAGTTAAAGGCCAAAAATGACCACTTGAAGGTAAAAAAATGTCAATAGTACCGTCGACAGAAATGTTAATGACATAAAAATATTAAGAATGGATGATTCACCATTGGCGGATAATGACCTCGGAGGTAAATTTTTTCAAAAACCAATATCATTCTTGAAACATGCATATGCTTTTACCTATAAAACGATAACTTGGACGGCTTGTGCTCTCTAAGACATAAGTTTACATTTGAGAATGTGTTCTTTTTATGCGTGAACAGTCCCTTAGAAGGCCCCAAAAAGAAACTTACATTTTTGGCCTATTTTGTAACAGTGAGAACATATTTTTGCACACTGAAAATCTGAAAAAGAAAGCATAATTGTGCAATGTGCAATTGTGCATACCTCTTTGGCTAATTGTAAAAAGTAAGTAGTGGAAGCACAACAATGTGATATACTTACAAAAATTGTATCTTTATATGAACCACTAGACAGTGGACTCGACTATTTAAGTGTCTCAAATATATTTGGAATATTTGTCAACATTTCTGCGTTGTATAAGAGGAGCCACTCATGCGAAATCAGTAATGAGGATAATTAGGACGCAGGGTAAGACCACAAATTGAGAACACATAAAAAAAAACAGATTTTGAGGACAAAAATTACTAATTCACTGTTAAGGACTCAAAAAGTGTGACATGAAGTATAAGATCGATAACTCACTATTAAGGACACACTAAAGTTTAACATGAAAATTGATAACTCTCTAATGAGGACGCACAAAAGTGTGACATGAAGATTGATAACTCTCTAATGAGGACGCACAAAAGTGTGACATGAAGATTGATAATTTACTATTAAGGATGCAAAAAGTGTGACATACATACAGATTTAAATATAAAACTTAAAAAGACTAATACTAAAAGTATAAAGTAATTAGGACTAACTTTACCTAGCGGAATGGTCTGGGTTGGATCACGGAAAGCATCAGGTACCTAAAGTACGTATTATGATCAAATTTATTTCATCAAAAAAATCCTTTGTCCTATCGATAAGGGGCGAGGGGGGGGGGGGGGTCAATTCTTCCAATATCTTGACTGCATACCTAATTTGTGTTATAATTTCTAAGAATAATATAAAATTGGACCTCTAATGACCTCTAATGACCTCAACAAATTGAAAATGATTTAACTATGGCTTTATGCATATCAAACGAAAGCTAGGAACCAAGGCAATACAGTAGCAGCAACGAATCTAGTGTTTGACCTTTTAATGACCTTTCATGACCTCTAACGACCTCTAATGATATCTAAATTGAAAATGTTTAGAAGTGATTAGTGTCCAATTTTATTTTATTTTATTCTATTCCAACACAACTTAGGCAGCAGCCAACAATATATATATATATATATAGCAGCCAACAAATGGGAAGATTTTAACAAAACATAAAGGTATGTAATCTGCAGTATTCACATCGTACTTCTATTTGTTTACAACAGTGTCAATTTCTGCCACGCTCATCAATCAATAAAACTTTGGGATCGTATTGGATGGAATTATGTGGACCCCTGTTTAGAATTAGCTTGTTCTTGTTTACCTTCTCTAGGTAGATTTCGTCCCAGAATAGTAAACCAAGGATTGAGTTTAGAACTGCACCCTCAGCATGCGATCCTTCATACAATCCTTGATCCTGATCAAACATTGTCTTTAATCCTTGGTGAATCCCTTCTTATAATCCTTGATCCTAATCTATCTTTGTTTTTAATCCTTTTTAAAATTCTTGATATGATCCTTTCTATAATCCTTGCTATAATCCGTAATGCTATAATAATCCTTGATATAATCCTTGCTATAATCCTTAATACTACTGTAATCCTTGCTATAATCCATAATACTATTATAATCTATGCTTTAAATCCTAAATGCTATTTTAATCCTTGATATAATCCTTGCTATAATTACTTGATATAATCCTTGATGTGATCCTTGCTAAAATCCTTGCTATAATCCTTAATAATATTATAATCCATGCTTTAATCCTTTATGCTATCATAATCCTTGCTATAATCCTTAATGCTATTATAATCCTTGATATAATCCTTGCTATAATTCTTAATGCTATCATAATCCTTGCTTTAATTTCTTGATATAATCCTTAATATGATCCTTGCAATAATCCTTACTATAATCCTTGATGCTATTGTAATCCTTGATATAATGCTTGCTATATTTTTTTTGATATAATCCTTGATATGATCCTTGACATAATCCTTGATATGATCCTAGCTATAACCCTTACTATAATCCTTGATGCTTTAATAATCCTTGATATAATGCTTGCTTTAAAACAAACTTTGATTTTAAAAAACATTGTTCCTTGTAGTGTTCCCTCACAAGTTCCTCGACATTACAGTAAGTAGTTCCGCCATCCGGGGTAGTCAGCATAAATATAGATTTTGTTCCGGATACACCATCTTTGGATACCATTTTCCCGGATATAACAACTACAGGTAGGTCCTAGGAAATAAATATACATAAAGAACCGGATGCACCAACCCCCCTCCACACCAAACACCCCTTTGTACCTGTGAGCTTGGATCTTGCCAGTCTTCTCTCCCTTGGTATTCTTCTAGTTTAGTTTCTAAGTTGGCATTCTTCTTTGATCTACAGATCTTTAATATTCTCTGAGATAAGGATAGTCGTCTTCCACCCCTAACCATCTTATCCTAGAGTAGGATTAATTAGGTTGATCTACAGACAGATCTTTAATATTCTCTGGGATAAGGATAGTCGTCTTCCACTCCTAACCATCTTATCCTAGAGTAGGATTAATTAGGTTGATCTACAGATCTTTAATATTCTCTGGGATAAGGAAAGTCGTCTTCTACCCCTAACCATCTTATCCTAGAGAAGGATTAATTAGATTGATCTACAGACAGATCTTTAATATTCTCTGAGAAACTTTCTTTGAGTTTAATATGTTAGAGGGAAAATTACTAACATACATAGAATAAAGCAAAATGCGCAATTAAAGATTGACATCAGAATTAAATCTATGTTTCCTTGAAAAAAATATACCTGTAAAGCCAATTCAATCTTGCCAAGGGCATCCATTGGTCTCTTCAAATGTGTTTCAAGATCCAAGCATAAGCGTTCATACCAAACTCCCCTTAATAGAATATGAGTTCATATACACTTTACGCTGATACAGTGAGAACCAGAAAACTATGGAATATAAGGGCGACTTTTAAACCAAAGGTATGAGAAAACTTCAAAATCTAAATGAACAATGAACATGAGACACAGCAAGTGTTAAGTAGTAGTAGTATACACAAGAAACATTTTACTTCAAAGGTTAAGCTCAGGATACTTGCAAAACTATTTGCTTTATACCAACAATTTACAGACTTAAAGATTGCTTAATTTCAGCATTCTATTTTATCGTTTTCTCTTGGAAGTGGAAATATGGGAAGAAATATTCAGAAAATCCGCAAAACTCGGTAATTCTCGTGTCTAAACAAGATATGGTCCTTACCTAAGCAAACACTAACCTGTCCCAAGTTAATTGAGAGGATAGCGTAAAAAAAAGGTGATTTTTTTTAGTTTTAAATGTAAACTGCTTCTCTCTCTTCTTTATTATTCAATTTTTAGATTACCTATATCTATAGAGGAAATCAGTTAGATTTTTTAATTACCTATATCTATAGAGGAAATCAGTTAGATTTTTTAACTACCTATATCTATAGAGGAAATCAGATTACCTATATCTATAGAGGAAATCAGTTAGATTTTTTAATTACCTATATCTATAGAGGAAATCAGTTAACAAAAGTTTCTCGAGTAAAATTACTGCTTCAGAATAATTCTTCATTTTCTCCAATAACTCAACACACCTTAGCAAAAAGAGCACTTTTTAGCTTTGAATACAAAAAATATGAAAAATGTAAAATTGTAAATATGAGATCTTTGTTGATCTTAAAAGGACAGCAGATGGAATTTCAAGTGAACTTTCATTTAGAGAGTGGTACGTCCGATGCACAAGGACACCCAACAAACAAACAAACAAACAAGCGGTCAACCATCATTCTGTAGAAGTCAGGACTGAGACTTAGTCAAAAAAAGCCATAATGGCTTTTATTGTACCAATTGATTACGACACTTGTCTAGTGTGGCCAACTGTCTCAGTACAGACCAATGACGTACGCCACCGCAAAACTGCACACTAACAGCCACCTCTTACAGTGACTTGGGAATTAATGCTGAACACGTTTTAAAACAGAAAAATTAAGATATCTTTCTCATTGTTACTAAAAATAAAGGTTTAAAATATACCATTGGGAATAGGACATACTACTCTACAAATTGAGGGTCATTTGAAATTACGTGTACAGATTTGTATGTTCTAAGCTGATGAGAACAAATTTTTTCTTAATTTTGTTTTTAAAAAGTATCGCAGTTATAATACAGTAATCCTCAAGGTATCGGTTTAAGTTGTTGTTTGAACCCTCTATATCATTTAATTAACCGTTGACAGTCCCATACAACTAAAACTTTTTTTTTGGCTATTTTACTATATTACATTATACGAGGATGAGATTAGAGATCTGCAAAAAAAACCAGACCGCCATGTATCCGACCCGTGCCAATAAGATTATGAAAACCAGACCTGCTAAGCCCGTATGCTAGAACTGCTGGAGCAGTTAGTTTCCTCAGGAAGATTGGTAGATCTTCTACTGTTCTCATTAGCTCAGAATCCAGTTGCAACCTCTCATACTCCGCCTGTAAAATATTATTATCATTAACGGGCAACCAGCTGATCAATGAAGTGGGGATCGGCGCTCCTCATCTGATAGCAACATGCCCAAGGAAAATGTCCCCTTTATCCTGTAAGAAGAGTTTGATCCGCCCGGAACATAGCTACTTCTGGATCTCTTCAGGTGCTTATAAATTGGTTTAATCTTTTCTACAGTTTAATATTCAAAATATTAAAGAAGTTAATTAACACGAAATAAATTACCTCACCTCCCATTCCTTCACCTACCAATATATCCATGTAGGCTGTATACCCGGCCTCCCAGTCCTTGTTGTTGAGGGCAGCCTTCAACCCCCCCTCCCCTCCCCTCACCTACCAATATATCCTTGTATGCTGTATACCCGGCCTCCCAGTCCTTGTTGTTGAGGGCGGTCTCCACCTTGTCCTCTAGCCTCACAGCAGCCTCGAACCTCACTAGATCCTCCCTATCTCGGAAAACTCGCCGTTCTCTGAAAAAAATGGCTAATTAAAGGAACTAAGACGTAATATTTTGGGGTGACCCTTTAAATTAACGAGTAGCATGTCCGATTAACAACGGATTCTGAATTAAATGAATTTGAGCCACGTCTCAAATCCGACCAAAACAGGCTTAGATTGAGCGCCGGCTTAAATCTTGAAATATTGAAAACCATTTTAAGTGAAAACAACCATATTTGAGCCGCGTCTTAATTTTAAGCCGCGGCTCAAATTCTTCAAATTCGGCCTCGGAACTCTTTTATTCTTAATCTAGGCAACAAATGATCTAAGCAACAAATAATCTAAGCAACAAATGATCTAAGCAACAAATGATCTATGCAACAAATGATCTAAGCAACAAATGATCTAAGCAACAAATGATCTAGGCAACAAATGATCTAAGCAACAAATGATCTAAGCAACAAATGATCTAGGCAACAAATGATCTAGGCAACAAATGATCTATGCAACAAACTGTCTATGCAACAAATGATCTATGCAACAAATAATCTAAGCAACAAATAATCTAAGCAACAAATGATCTAAGCAACAAATTGATCTATGCAACAAATGATCTAGGGAACAAATGATCTAGGCAACAAGTAATCGAAGCAACAAATGATCTAAGCAACAAATAATGTAAAACCTATAACTAAAGCCCTATTTAGGAAATAACGAGGAGTGACGAACCTAGTGCTCACACAAACCTTGAACTACAACAGGAGCTGGATCCACATCTAATCATCAATCCTTATCTTCAAGCTGCAGAAGTTATAAAGTACTTTCTATTTAACTCTATATTTAGCCATGTTTAACGAATATTTTACCTTGTTGATTGAAAGCATATTTAGCCTAATTTTATTATATAACTGAAAGTTTTATCTAAAAAATTAAAGAAAACAGATTTTAAATTTATATATATGAAAGGAAGCACGTGCAATACCATCAATCTTAAAATGTAACAATGTATGTGTGTATTGTGTAAACATATTTACTCAAAAACATTCATTAAAAAATATTTAACTAGAGGCCTTTTTCAGACCAAACAATATGGTCATGTTTGAATGCAAATCCGAATAAGTTCTCTACGATATAAACAAAAGGTTTGAGAAATATTATAATACTGTACACTCCTTAACGTACTGTATTACTTGTACATGGGAACAGTGTACACGTTGTTGTACCCTGATCTCATCCCTCCCCGGTGCATCGACAATATATACCCCTGTTCAGGAGCTGAGGACAATATCGTTGTATCCTGACCCCAGCTGACTGGTGTAAGAGAAGGAAGACAGGTGTTGTTCTGACACTTGTACAAGAAAGCTATACTATAAACAGTAGTTCTGGAGCTACTGCTGTACCTGTACCTCGACGGAAGAAGATTGTGCTTGTACTATATAATCCCGGTTTGACCTGGATAAGAAGGAGACGCTGTACTCTCTGGACCTGTAAACATGAAGCTGTCCTGTTATTGCAGCCATGAGTTATTTACAGGTGTGTTATATCTCACGTACTGCTGTACCGTTGCTGTACATAGTACTCGCAAGCTTGACCATTATCTACTCTAACGTGTTCAGGACTTGAAGGAGAGTGTTGATAGTGAGTTGGAGCTGAAGAGGAGTATGCTGAACCTGGGGTGAGAGCCAGATATTCTCAAACCAGGAAACAGATACCCTCCTGGTCTAGTGAGCTCTGACCAGAACGATAACAGGTGTGTTAAACAATGATTTAAAGTGAATTTAAATCTAATACAAATTGTTTAAGGAGTAAACCTTTGGAGATAAGGGGATCTGATTAAATAAACAGTCTCGTCAAGAAAGATACCTTCGTGGACGGTGCTCCACGCACTCAGTCGATGCACCAAATGTAAGCACTCTTTTTAACATATTCATGTGATTGATTGATTGTAAAATAATGATTAGTTGATGGTATTGCTTTAAAATTGTTAAATTATATGGAGCTGATTAATATTGTGATTTATTTTTTCAGTTTCCACCACAAGACGTGCTTCCCTCGTTCCTGGAGTATAAATGAACTGTGGATATTTACAGAAACAAGCGCGTGAGAAATGGGTATGATGACTGAGCCTGCATCCGGCATTTGGCGTGAAGACCTAATTGAAAATTAGGTGAGAAATGCACAAATAATCTAAGCAACAAATAATCTATGCAATAATGATCTAAGCAACAAATTGATCTAAGCAACAAATGATCTAAGAACAAATGATCTAGGCAACAAATGAGCTAAGCAACAAATGATCTAAGCAAAAAATTGATCTATGCAACAAATGATCTAGGCAACAAATGATCTAAGCAACAAGTAATCGAAGCAACAAATGATCTAAGCAACAAATGATCTATGCAACAAATGATCTAGGCAACTAATGATCTAAGCAACAAATGATCTAAGCAACAAATGATCTAAGAACAAATGATCTAAGTAACAAATGATCTAAGCAACAAATGATCTAAGCAACAAATTGATCTAAGCAACAAATGATCTAAGCAACAAATGATCTAAGCAACAAATGATCTAAGCAACAAATGATCTAAGCAACAAATGATCTAAGCAACAAATGATCTAAGCAACAAATGATCTAAGCAACAAATGATCTAAGCAACAAATGATCTAAGCAACAAATGATCTAAGCAACAAATGATCTAAGCAACAAATTGATCTATGCAACAAATGATCTATGCAACAAATGATCTAAGCAACATATGATCGAAGCAACAAATGATCTAAGCAACAAATGATCTATGCAACAAATGATCTAGGCAACAAATGATCTAATCAACAAATGATATAAGCAACAAATGATCTAAGAACAAATGATCTAAGCAACAAATGATCTAAGCAACAAATGATCTAAGCAACAAATGATCTAAGCAACAAATTGATCTATGCAACAAATGATCTTTGCAACAAATGATCTAAGCAACAAATGATCTAAGCAACAAATGATATACAACAAATAATCTAAGCAACAAATGATCTAAGCAACATATAAGGAAGTATCGTCGGTTTTCTTCCTTAATAAGTGTTGAACTCTGAAACTTTGATAAATAAATATCCATAAATCCCAAATAAAAATTATTTTTCTAATTTTTTAAAAATACATCTACAATTGAGCAGGACAAAGCTTTAACAGGCTGTCGCTGTAATTTTGAAGTGAACTTCCATTCCTTTATAAAATGTTGCTTTTTTGGTATGCAATAATTTTCATTTAATCCCACCCCTTTAAAAAAAATAATAATAAATAATAAAAATAATTTGTTACTTTTTACAAAGGAATGTTATTTACTCTCAGCCAAATTAGAATCAATGGAAAGGAATTGAGTTTTTGCAACAAACTAACATTTTCTATTCCCTATATCTTTGCAACCTTATAGTGTAAACCTTTGATATTTCAAACTTAGACTATTTGATCTACCAGAATTAACAGTTTGAAATATCAAAGGTCTAGGAAAACGGGTTGCTAAGTTACAGGAATTAGAAAATCTGAGTTTGTGGCAAAAACTCAATTCCTTTGTCTGAGAGTAAATGATACATTTAAAAAGGAGCTCTCCCCCATTCACAACTGTACATTTTAAACCATTATCTGATCATTAATGCGGCGGATATCGTCGTTTTTCTTGCTTGAAAATTGTTGAATTCTGACAATTTCCCCCTAAATTGTTGTTGCAAAGCAGAAATGCGCAAGTAAATTTCAAAGAGAAACTGCACAATTGAACGCAATAAAGTTTCGTTGAGAAGATGATCTCTGTCTCATTATTTCTAAAAAAGTACCATTGTAAATCGAACATTCGCCTCTACAATCCGTCACTTGAAATTACGTGTTAAGTTGGTTTATGTGCAGGGTAAACAACATAAGGATAAAATAAAGTAATAAAATGAATCTCATATATATATATATGTAATTTGAAACTTTATACAATCACACATTAAATAAAGACCGCAAAAAATGAGGCGGACAGTGTATTATCAGTGTACTAGAGAACACAAGTATCAGTGTACTAGAGAACACAAGTATCAGTGTACTAGAGAACACAAGTATCAGAGAGAACACAAGTATCAGTGTACTAGAGAACACAAGTATCAGTGTTCTAGAGAACACAATTATCAGTGTTCTAGAGAACACAATTATCAGTGTACTAGAGAACACAAGTATCAGTGTACTAGAGAACACAAGTGTAAGAATGAAACTAAAATGAAAATAAAAAAGAAAGCTTTAACAATAAATCACACCAAAAGGATTGCATTCATGGTTTCCAGTAAAAAAAATCTTTTTAACAACTATCATAATATGAAATTTTTACTTCTTACGAGTTCTTTTTAAGTATTGAATTTGTCAGATTTTTCATAATTGTGCAAAAATTTAAAAAAATGAAAAACACAATTATTATTATTATTATTATTCAAGCCGATTCCTTTAAAGATTCCTTGATTTTATATGCAGAGGTGTACTCTTTCAAAGAGGACATAATCAAAAACAATCATTGTTGTCAAACATTATTTTATGGATATTAGCACAGGCAAATATTTTAAAGAATTAACGATTATTCAAGCTTTAAAAGCAGTGCTTAGGATCCATTCAATTTTGATGCGGATCCGGATCCAGGTCATTTCTTTAAGAGTTACTGATTTTTTTTAACAAAAAATAATTTTCAAATTTTTTGTTTTATTTTTTTCGATTATTTTTATCCTAAAACTTGATGATCCATTCAGAAATGAGAAAAATTTTATAATCTCTCTTTTTTCAGAAGTTCAGATTTGGTTTTAGGAGTAAAAAAGATTTTTTTTGCAGTTTTTGGTTGATATTTTACCCCCTTGGATCCGGATCCGTGGATCCGCATATTTTTGCGGATCCGGATCCAGGAAGCCAAATCTTGCGGAATTAACGGATCCGGATCCTAAGCACTGTTTAAAAGAAGTGTTAAAGGGACTGTGGACCTTTACAAAGGTACCCTTGAAACCTGATTAGAAATGTATAAAATATCGTCGTTTTTCTGACTCAACAAGTGTTTAATTCTGATAATTTCTCCATTGCTTAACTTATAAGCAAGAAATGCACAAGTTGTAAATCGGGCATTGACATCTTTGCATGTTGAATGTTGAATGTTGAATGTTGATATCACGCTTAAAGTTCTTTTGAATGTAAAACTTATAGAAATTGAAGTTTTAATTATCCAAATAAAATTGTATGGCAAAAAAAAACAATAACCTGATAATATTGTAAAGAGGGAAGGTAGCTCTACCCTGATTACTGAACAGGAACAGTGATGTTAAAGAGTTAGGAGGCCGGTCATCTTCTCTCTCATTCCACCATTGGGATACTCCCCACAAACACAGGATCCTACACACAACATAATAGAGTTGGGGGGGTTATTACTCCCTCTCATTCCACAGTTGGGATACTCCCAAAAACACAGGATCCTATACATATTATATTAGAGTTTGGGGGTTATACCCCTCTCATTCCACCATTGGGATACTCCCCACAAACACAGGATCCTACACATTATATTTAAGTTGTGGGGTTATACTCTATCATTCCACAATTGAGATACTACCCACAAGCACAGGATCCTATACACATTATCTTAGAGTTGGGGGTTATTACCCCTCTTATACCACCATTGGGATACTCCCCACGAACACAGGATCCTACACACAATATAATAGAGTTTGGGGGTTTATACCCCTCTCATTCCACCATTGAGATATTAGTATCTAGAGTTGGGGGGTTATTACTCCCTCTCATTCCACAATTGAGATACTAGTAACTAGAATTGGGGGGGTAGTTCTCCCTCTCATTCCACTATTGAGATACTAGAATATCTAGAGTTGGGGGGTTATCATTCTCTCTCATTTCACAATTGGGATACTAGTATCTATAGTTGGGGGGGTTATCATTCCCTCTCATTTCACAATTGGGATACTAGTATCTATAGTTGGGGGGTTATTACTCCCTCCCATTCCACCATTGAGATACTAGAATATCTAGAGTTGGGGGGTTATCATTCTCTCTCATTTCACAATTGGGATACTAGTATCTAGAGTTGGGGGGTTATCATTCCCTCTCATTCCACAATTGGGATACTCCCAAAAACACAGGATCCTATAAACTTTATAATAAAGTTAGGGGGCTGGTCAATTCCGTTTTTCATCTTCTTTACCCATACATTCATTTACATTCTCCCTAAACATCATCGATTTACCCCCAATCATACCTAACTTGGGGGGGGGGGGGGGGGTTGATTTTTATAGAAAATATAAACCCGGCCCTGTATTACCTGTTAAGGACAGATCTGGGATGGGTTTGAAGCTTGTAACAATTTCCACCAAGTGATTTAGCTCTTCTTAATACCTAGGAGTAATAAATCAAATAAAATCAGAGTTTTAGGTTGATCCTACTAGTTATTAAAGAGAAGCTAGTGTGCAGAAAAATATAATTTTCAATCATCTATACTCAAGTAGCAATCTCTATTTGTTTGTATGTCTGGATCATAACTCATGAACCCCTTGACTGATATGCATTTCATTGTTGAACTCGTTAGAAACACGGGATATTCATTTTCATTGTTGAACTCGTTAGAAACACGGGATATTCATTTTGATTGTAGAACTCGTTAAAAACGCGGGAAATGCATTTTGATTGTTGAACTCGTTAAAAACGCGGGATATGCATTTTGATTGTTGAACTCATTAGAAACACGGGATATGCATTTTGATTGTTGAACTCGTCAGAAACACGGGATATGCAGTTTGATTGTTGAACTCGTTAGAAACAGGGGATATGCATTTTGATTGTTGAACTCATTAGAAACACGGGATATGCATTTTGATTGTTGAACTCCTTAGAAACATGGGATATGCATTTTCATTGTTGAACTCGTTAGAAACACGGGATATGCATTTTGATTGTAGAACTCGTTAAAAACACGGGANGGGGGGTGAAGTAAAAAAAAATATACATCACTGCTAAAAGTAAAATTTACCTTATTCAACAGTGAGCTAGAAGTCTGGAACATTGTTTTCTTGGAGCACATTTTCTTTAGTTCATCAATTATTTCATGCTTGTTAGATATTTTGGGGGATACATTAAACTCCTTCATCAACAGAATAATTTAACTAAATAACAAATCAATACTGCCGACATTTTATTTATAAAAAGCAACTTATTTTTCACCTTTCCTACGAGAACAAAATATTAATTACAAACTTTGCAATTATATGACTGTGCGGGAAAGTTGATTTTGGGCAAAGTTTCGGAATAATTATCTCCGGAATAAGAATAATTTCCGGAAGGAAAACTTCCGGAATAAGAATAATTACCGGAAGGGACACTTCCGGAAAGTATGATATTCTGTCCAGCTTCCTTCATATGGCTTCTCATAAGAATTGAAAACTAGCTGAAGTGCCCTGTGTTGCACGTTAAATTAAACAAAATTGAGAATTTTGAAGAAAAAAAAATTATTAAAAAGATCATTTTTGAAAAAAATGCGATTTCTTCCTCATTGTTAGTTTATAGCAAGGATGTAATGCAAGGAAAGTTAATTGTTAAATGTATACTCTGCGTACATATTGAAACCAGTTCTCTTCGGGCGGAATTTGTAAACAAGAATAGATGCATCAGTGTTCGTTTAGTATCCCAGGAGGTTAAAAGCATTAAATTTTGATAATTTTGATAATTCACATAATAGTTTCCTATGACCAGAATACTTCATTGATTTTTTATGTGAACGATGGATCCTATTTGAGGCTGTAACATCCGTCTTGTGTTACATCACCGCCCAGTGACAGTACACTGCAGCACAAAAGATGCGTACACTTCTGAAATACCTTTCCTTGGATTACATCCTTGGTTTAAAGAGGTTTAAATAAAACCATTGTACTCTAAAAATCCCTTTAATTGATAATTATTCTGTTCCTTGGCTATTGTTTTAATTTCGGGCGTGTGCAGAATATTCAAACTGTCAGATAGGTCATCAAGCTGCATCTATATAAACAAATCCCAATGAAGTCATCTACTTATAAAAACACTATTTTTACTTGAAACACGTGATTTATGTGAAAAATGAAATAAAAACTATTTTTATTACTTTGAGAGACAGTTTCTACGATGTCTACCCTCAAAGACATCTTTGGGTGGTAAAATTGGCTCAAAATTAGAAAAATGCGTGTTTATGAATACCCCCTTGTAATCCCTTGCAATCTCTTGTAATCCCTTGTAATCCCTTGTAATCCCTTGTAATCTCTTGTAATCCCTTGTAATCCCTTGTAATCCCTTGTAATCCCTTGCAATCTCTTGTAATCCCATGTAATCCCTTGCAATCCCTTGTAATCCATTGTAATCTCTTGTAATCCCTTGTAATCCCTTGCAATCCCATGTAATCCCATGTAATCCCTTGTAATCCCTTGCAATCTCTTGTAATCCCATGTAATCCCTTGCAATCCCTTGTAATCCATTGTAATCCCTTGCAATCTCTTGTTATCCCTTGTAATCCCTTGCAATCTCTTGTAATCCCATGTAATCCCTTGCAATCCATTGTAATCCCTTGCAATTCTGTCAAAGCTGTACTACTAGTGTAACACGACACTAGAATTTGTCTGTTTAAGTGGATTGAATAATAATTTAAATCTAAATAATTACATGGTTAATTTTCTGATAGAAAAGTGAAAAAAAAACAATTTTGTTTTCCATCCTTTTTGATAATTTTTGGAAAAAAAATCATTTATTTTCCCAAACTGTTTTTCACTCTCCCAAGTTCAGCGTAAAAAATCCCCCAAAAATATATTTCCACTCTGCGCACAAAAACCAAACATCTGAAGACAAACTGGTTTTTTTTTTACAAAAATAAACAGTATACAGTATACAGTATACAGTACACAGTACACAGTACACAGTACACAGTATACAGTATACAGTATACAGTATACAGTATACAGTATACAGTATACAGTATACAGTATACAGTATACAGTATACAGTATACAGTATACACCCCTGAATAATTATCAAACAAACCTTGTCCAACAGCAGGCCTGCAGACACTAATATACACGCACTCTGAACAAAACTTTATAAATAAAACTAATAAAAAATAAAAACAATTTATATTTTATTATTTAAGCTCAAGCCTCGCTAATAGGAAAATGTGTTAGCAATATGATATCAAATAACATATCAACGTTTTTCTAAGGGACGTACATTTCAAAGTGACCGTCCATTTAAGAGGTACATGACCTTTAAAAGGTGCTCTTTAAACCTTAATCTCCAGATAAGAAGAAAACATATCGACATTTTCCATTCTTAAAGGGACTATACCTAATTTAAAAAGTTAAATGCCATATTTACAACAGTACTCTTTTAACCTATATTTAATTAGAAGTAGGTTTGTTTTTATCATAGTAGAAAAACAGTATCAGAAGATTATTACTTTTGATCATGAAAACTGCAGTGCTTAGGATCCATTTAAATTTGATGCGGATCCGGATCCGGCCTGGAAAAAATGGATCCGGATTCAGGTCATATCATTAAGATTTACTGAACTTTTTTGACAAATAATAATTTTCAAATTTTTTGTTTTATTTTTTTCGCTTATTTTTATCCTAAAACTTGATTGAACCATTCAGAAATGAGGATATTTTCATAATCTCTCTTTTTTTCAGAAGTTCAGATTTGGTTTTAGGAGTAAAAAAGTTTTTTTTTGCAGTTTTTGGTTAATATTTTACCCCTTGGATCCGGATCCGTGCATCCGCATATTTTTGCGGATCCGGATCCAGGAAGCCAAAATCAAAAAAAAAAATTTTTGTTCAGGGTACCGTTGTGATCGGGCATGTGACTGTTTAGAAAAAAGTTTACTTGTAATTACATCTATACTCTTCAGTCCTTTCTAATTCATAAGAAGGTTAACAATAATGAACGAACTAAATTGAACTGAAACATGAAAAACACACAAGATTTTTAATGAACAGGTTTTTGTCCAAAAATAATATGATTTTCTATTTAAATCGACTAAGGCTCGGTGATTATCAAACAACATGTAAAAATAATATAATTTCTCAAGATTTTGTTTTTTTCAAGTTACCTTTTCTATTTCCGGACATTCGTCATATTTAATATTTGTTTCCGAAATCCAAGCATGCTTACGGTTAAACAACCTTCGGGAATCAATTGTTTCAAGGTAAATTTAAGAAAGAACTACAGGGTTTGCATTTAAAATAATTATTTTGAAGATTGGAGACTGTAAATGATTGGGAAGTTTCCCCCTTTATTATCATACTTTTCCCCCATTTTCCCCGGCTAACCATTTTCGAAAGTGTGAATACCTCAGTTCCTCCTGGTTAAAGAGTTCCCTGTCATCTGTGCAGTCCAGGACACACGCCAGAATATATTCAAAGTTTGTCACGTAGTACGGCGTGTAGTCAGGGTCCCTTCTTTTGGTCGGGGTGAACGGATCATGTTGGGGGATTTCAGGCCGACCACCGAACAGGTTCTTTCGCGCATTTTGAGGACTTGAGTTGGAGGATTTTTTGGGCGAGTATTTGTCTCCAGCACTTTTAGAACCAGACCTGAATAACCTTTGAATAGCTTTCGTTGTGTAGGTGTAGGGGAGGGTGGAGGTGGGTAAATGTAGATTAAAGATTATAATGTGCAAAGTTAGAACTTTTGTTTTGTGAATCTCCGGATCAAACATAGATCTCCATTTAATGCAAACCTACGCGACGGATTAATTTAATTCTTTTCCACTATCTAAAATTGCGGTATCAAATGTAAAATTGTCCATATTAAATATCGGGATCAAACGCATGTTATTTCCACGAGGACCGGGTGGGAAGTAATTAATTAACTGATGTTATTATAAAATTATTAAATCTATTATAAGTTGACCCACCTGACTAGCTGGGATCTGTCCGGACTGATATTATCGATACCTCCGTACCGTGCAGGATTGTAGGATATACTAGGGGAAAGGGTAATAGTCTCCTGAAATCAAAATTGAATTTTTAAATGTCAGATGTTAAAAATTCGAGAAAAAAAATTTTGTTTTTAGAAAAATAAACACTAACTAAAATATCAAAATAAAACATTGTGCACTATTTCTTGCCTGAGAAAAAGTCATAGAGGATTGTGATGATTGTGTAGATTGGAAAGTTTGTGAAGAATGTGAAGGAGATTGTGAAGATCGTTTGGTGCTTGATTGTTCAATATTTAACCTATATCACAGAAATTATTTTTCAATATAAAAAGATTTTCATTTTATCGTGAGCGAAATAATGAAAAATTCAACCATCGGAGTATATTTGATGGATTATTGTATTGTGTAATGTGTAACATAAAATGTACTCAAATATGTTTTTCAAATTGAGCATGTTTGGTTTTAAAAATACGCAATCAGTATGTTTGAAATGCGCGAAATGTCATAAAAGTCGACCAACTGAACTTAGAATCTCAAAATCAAGCTAAGAACATTTCGGTGGGACTACCGAGTTCCCCATCAAAATTTGAGGCAAACCGGTCCAGGGGTTCCTGAGCTATGATCGGACAAACAAAAAAACAAAAAGTCAGACAACTTTATATTTATATAGATACACATAGCACATGTGCATATTTTATAATTCGGGTTTTATTTTTATTTTTATTTAAAGATTTTAAAATTACTACAAAGGCAAAATCAAAACAATTTTTTAAATGCTGCGGTTAGAAANAACGTAACAGGGAAAATAAAATATTCATGCGGGGGAGCTCCAATAAAACGTAACAGGGAAAATAAAATATTCATGCGGGGGAGCTCCAATAAAACGTTACAGGGAAAATAAAATATTCATGCGGGGGAGCTCCAATAAAACGTAACAAGGAAAATAAACTGGGACAACATGTTGCTTTCTGCATCTATATTCTGCGTCTATATTCTGCATCTATATTCTATATCAATAAAATAGTCTGTCTATTTGGAAATCTGATCATTACTCACGAACCCCTGGACCGATTTGCCTCAAATTTTGATTGACTAAGCAGACCTAAACTAAGACGGGAATGTTCTAACCTTGCTTTAAATATTCTAAATTGAATGGGTTAACTTATATAGAAAAAAAATTTCCAGGTAAAGCTTGGTTACCAAGCTAGTGCACTATAAAGCTTGGTTACCAAGCTAGTGCACTATAAAACTTGGTTACCAAGCTAGTGCACTATAAAACTTCTCCCCAAAAGTTGAAATTCAACAATAAACCCATAATTTCGATAACTTATATGGAGAAGAAAAGATACAAACCTTCTTGAACTACATCTTTGGCATTGTCTACAGCACTAATAAATGCATCATCATCACTGCACAGAATTTAACTAATGATACGCAAATTAATAGTTTTAAAAAAAAACGCATTTTCTAAAATTATCAAATACAAAAAGGCAAATTAAATTTTCAATCATTGTTAAAACCTAAATTCTTCGCTATCTTGTCTGGGTCGTTTAATTTGCTGTGCTTGCGATACTGCTTTTCGCTTTTTATTCTTTCCGATAATTTTTTTATTCTTCTCGTCCATATTTTTATTCTTCTCGTCCATATTTTTATTCTTTTCATCCATATTTTTATTCTTTTCATACATAATGTTTTCTCTGTCCTTTCCGGCATTATTTTCTAATATATCAGGAGACAGTTTGATTTCTTGAATAATCTTGACATCGTCTGTACTAATCTCGGTAGTACACTCCGTGTCCAAATGTTTGTTTATGTTTGTGTACGGAACCTGAGTACTGCAAACAGGACAAGCAACTTTCTAAAAGAAAGTAAATTGTACATAGGAATTAATTAATTTAATAATGACGATTTCGATTTATCAATTGCTAATCCACGGCAATTAAGGTGATTTAGGATAAGAGCCCCCCCCCCCCCATTCCCGGGATTGTCAAAAAAGGTTAACCTAAGCCCCATGGAAAAATTCCTGAATACGCCCCTTGAACACATAAGCATTAGCTGCTTTGAATTAAACTATTTCACAAGAATAGGTCTTCTTTACACTCTCATGTTTATTAGGACACCCTGTTTGCATTTTAACCAATTATATTGAATTCCTTCTTTATAACTTCAAATGTTCTTTATATTTTACAAATACCAGTTAAACACGTACTAGAAAATATCCAAAAATTAAAAATTATTGTCAACAAAAAGTGTGGGTCCAGGATTTAAGCGAGGGGGGGGGGGGCAAGATTTTTTAGGAACAAAAAAATTCATAATTAGGAACAAAAAATCGAGACAGGCGAAATTTTTTTTTTTGATTTTAAAACTCAAAAAGAGTCAAAATTAATGACTAAAGACTGAAAAACTAGATCTTTAACTTTTCACACATTACATTTTATTAACAGAGATATTTTTCCTGTTTTGCACTAGGGTTTCTTTCCCATAAACACGCTATTGAGAAGCTATTCTGAAAATAGGAACAAAAAATTCCAAATTCAGAAGGGGGCTACGCCCCTCCCTGAATCTGTCAGGGGGGAGCGAATGTCCCCCGCCCCCCCCCCTGTTTCCGCCCCTGTGTGGGTCTGTCCAACAAAACGAAGTTTAAACATGGGTCTCATATATGTAAGACATGGATATAATTTTAAGTTATTATGTATTATTTAAGGGTAAGGTAAAGTTTTAACAATTTCTGGGCCGAGCGGCGCAGCCATGACCAAATATATCAATGTGTTACATATGGAAAATATGAGATCCGGTAATTTCCTAGTATACTATTTTTGGACCCCCCTCTCCTATCAATTTTGTACATGGGTGTGACAGAAAGTTTCTTAACTTAACCTAACCCGTGGCCGCAGCGCTCGGCCCCCTAGCCCATCCTAGCCGCAGCGCTCGGCCCAGAAAGTATCTTAAC